GAGTTGCCAAAATAGCCGTGAGAGGGCTTTACCAAACTTTTTCCTTCGTTCCTGAGTCTGACGGTTGTTCCAGGACACCGTAGAGATAAAAGGTCTGCACTGGTGTAGACATGAATCAGACCCATCCATATATTAAACGGCATCGCCATCACTAAGCGACCTTTGAGTTGAATTTGAAACATCTTACTGGACATCTACACTAGGTTTTTCTCCATTCATGTGACGTTTTCTAGCAGAGTCCGGTGGTTTTTCAGCAAATTTTCACTATTCTGCTGTGTTAGGAATTTCTTTTTGAATGGTGTAACACTAGCTAGCGCTGGAATACTGCGAATTTTGTTTCGTGAGCTAAATACTTAACTTTTTTATTTAATGCCTACTGCGATTTTGCACAGCAGAGTGTTATATGAAATTCAACAACAATGATACCGATTTATTTGCAATACTCCAAACCGCAGGTGACTGCAGTGGGGATCGAACCCGCTATTACCCTTTCCGTGGGCTAAAGCTGAACACTTTGAGCCCCGGAAAGGGTAGTAACAAGGTTCAATCCTTACCGCAGACACCGGCGGCCCGGAGTTTTACAAATATCTTAGCATCATTGTAGTTCAATATTTAATTTTACGTGATTCTGAAATCAATCCTTTTTATGAATAAATTCCATTGAGTAAAATGAGTCGCTGGTGGTAATGCGAGTCATTCATCAGGCTATTTACGGCTTAGTGTCAGTTTATTTTTTTCATCACCGGAATTTCCAGATCGTCAACTAGTCGAACAGAGGCGCCTTTATCGCATTGGTTAGAACCTCCTGCTATGCACATTGTCCTTGGTCCTATTTCGCATCTTAGTGATAATTTAATTCTCTATCTTTGAGAGGGTCGCGTCCGCCTTTATAAGTAATCGTTTCCATCAGATATGCATTTTATCACCGCTACTATCCTACGTATGAAGTCAAATACATGGTGCATAGCGCCGAACAGGTTAAGCAACACTGACATTTGTCCCGTCAAACGAATTCGTCCCTACGTTTATACGGCTGTTCTTCGCGAAGATCTAACCATCGAACAGATTAGTTAAGATCATTGTCGTTCAGATGTTTCTCCATTGTAATCATTTTTCGTCCAATATAGTCGCTAAATTCGCAAATTACGCTCTTGTTCATCTCTGCTTCGTCACTTGAGCGCTTCATTCAACCCCTGTTTCCTCCGCAGTGCGTCCTCTTCATGAAATCCACTCACTCACGCCTTATTTTCTTTGCCGATTGCGGTGGAAGTGGAAGATTTATCACCATTCCCAGATCGTCAGCGAACTCCAAGCTGAGTCCTTTCGAACATGATAAACCTTGAACAATAATTTCCAAGCAGGAAAAGTTCACCTTTAGTTTTTATTTCTCTACAACCTTAAATTTTTTCGAAATTCCATGATGCAAACTTCAACATCATAACAAACGAACAGCATAGGGTGACTTTTACGTCTGCCTTTAAACAATAAAAAGTCTTTGAACATCATCTGGCAATTATTCTTTCAAAACAATGGTTTCATAGCTTTTCAAGGCGCTATGAAGATGTTTCGCTACGGAATCTTCTACCGGTTCTACTGGTTACAAGATATAATATTTACCCACTTAAGAGTTACGTCTCATCAGAATTTCGTTCTCCTTGGGTGGTATCGTGTTTTATTCGCGCTCACCACTACGACTTTATGATTCTTCCGGCCTTAACTTAAAGACTGACAAAGGTTAAGCGTTAATCGTTGGTCGATACCTGACAAATACGCCATGGCATGCATTTTACTCCAATCATCGCATCCTAGAGACTACTGGAAGCCTGCTTGTTCCGTACAATATCCTGCATTAGCGTACCGATGTATCAGGTAGTGGTATTATCCTCGCAGACAAGTTTGGCATCGATTTGCTGATCTCGTAGGACGGGAGATAGGTTATCCGCGATTTGCATGATCAAGCCAACTATTTTGTCTGTGTTGTATGTCACCTCTAACACTCCATTATTAGCGTTCACCTCGTAAAATGCACTACGGAAATTTGGACACAAGGTATACATGGTGAAAGTGAGGACAGAGCCATTATACGCGTAATGCAAAGCGTGATACTAGGAGTACCCTGAACCGTAGTGATGTTAGCCGAGTGTCCGACGTACGTTGACAATCAACGATCGAAAGGGATCGTCAGGTACACAGACGCTAAGGTGTCGAAATCAATTGCATCAGATAAGTGATGCGTCTTTATGATAACCAATGGACATCGTCATTAGTGACTGATTCCATGGTATGGTATGACAAACGTACAGCAAGAATTCTACTGGTCAGAGTTTTTCAAGATGATCTTAAGAAAAAATCAAAATGTTTTCTGGCTAACATGGATGAGCAGAACTCACTGGACAATACTAGCAAGCAAAGGAGGCGAACGGAAACTTTAGTGGCACCATCTCAAATTGCCCGATAATCAGCTGAAGACCAGCTGATAAAAAGCGGTGGAAGTGTTTTATTCATCTTTAACTGAGCCGATTATTACTTCCAGTTAGTACTCCTCTTTTATTTTCGCAAATAATTTCCTTCATCTCATTTTGCCTTTACTTCTTTATAGAGATTCAAGAAAATTCGGAAGAATGCAGTTGACTCTCAGTCATTTCTGGACCCTTGGATCCAGTTTGACTTCGCTCAAATATCATGGGTTCTTCTCTACTTTTTATAACTTTATTCAGTACCTCAATATATTTTTCAGAATTATCCTATTTTAAAGTGGTTTTTGCTAATGAATTTGGCGAAATATCCCTTGTCTTCCGTGAACCGCGCTCACCTTCATTTCGTTAACCACTTCAAGAATCGGCCTCCATTTTGAGAATTGAGAAAGCAAAAGTCGGAAGTTTTGGAATTCAAACCGATATGGATAACTTGAAAGCCTATTTCTTTCGATTTTATCCAAGACGCAAGTAAGCATATAGGATTTTCTTGGATACGGGGAATTTTCATGAACGTCCACGAAACACTTAGAGGAGTTTTACGAAATCAAGCCAGATTAAATATAAAAACTAAATAATTTGAAATCGAAAATGGAGCAGAGGTCTAGGAAACTTTTCCTCTGCAGTGTGATTGAATAGCTTGAAACAATATCCAGACGCAGAGACCACAAATTCCCTGGAACCGCGCAGGTCGCATGGAAAGCGCCTCACTCGCTCAAGGCGACCTCAATTCCAATACGCCACACCCCAACCACGATTGTTAGGCGATCCGCTGAGGCCATCGAAGAAATCCATCCGAATCCATCTCATCCTTTCCCTACTTTCTCTGTTGCGTTCGCGAAAATATCGATCGGATATTGATTTGTAGAGATTTTCCGGATTAACCAGAATCATAATATTCATACTGGTTATCTTTGTCATTGCTATTATCGTCACAGTGAATCTCTTTTATTCCCTATTCTTCTAGTGAACATAATGTCATAGAGAATCATTGCTATTCTGTTTTCATTCCATGAATGTAGTTTTATTCCATCATGTGGCTATTCTTTTGCGATTTTTACAGGGTTTTATTACCATGTTTATTATCGTTCGCTTCAAAGGCCACTCTGTTATCGGATTGTCGATTTGTTTCCTTGATTTCCTTCACACTGCATGAGAGAAGTTCAGTAATAAGAAAGCCCTAACTTTTATGGCGAGGTTCGAAACAAAGAGCCCGTTCCCTGTCGGGAACTGAACGAACCAACCACATGTGAATTTTCCGACACAGTGTCCTAGGAATTACACCAAAAACAAGTTGAGCAAGCCTGTTGTATCCTATTGCATAAAATTATTTTTTTGTCAACTCTGACTAATCACACGTTCAAAAAATGTGTAGAAATGAAACGTATAAAGGCTAAGGCGTGAGCTTCGATCAGTGCCTGAGGAATAATCCATGCATTCGATTCCATTCGCAGCATCGTAGAGGTTAATTAATGCATATTTGATCAATATAATTACTTGCAATGGTATACCGATGTATCACGTTAGTTTTTTATGCTCACAAGTACCGATCTACCACTCCGGAGTTATGGGATAGCTGGCTTGCAGGATCGGCCCGAAGAACACGTTTATATCGTAATGCATCTTTAGCCACTGTACTATGAGACCATGTACGGCTAATACTTCAGAATACAACAATGCCGTCCTCACTAGTTCGTAGACTTCGGTCCTCATTTTCAAGTTAGTCACTTTTTTCCATAAGATTCTTGAGAGCGCGTTCTCTGTTATTCATCACCGGCTCGGCAACAACTGCATGACTTCAGCCGCCGCGTGTAGTGCAGTGCATAGAGATAAACTATAATACACAAAGACTTGTAGGTTCCATCCACTGACCCCTACAAACTAATCCCTCTTCATCCTCCCGATACCAGCAAATTTTCGGCAAACTTGATTGAGAAGACAAAGATGAATTACTGCGTGAGAAATATTCATTTAATCACCTCTGTTATGTCACGAATAGAGCTGAATGCTTGGTGTATCCTTAAGGGATTGATCCACATCGAATAAACAATTCATCATCTAGTCCTTTATTATCGAGGTGTTTTGATTCTCGAAAACATTGCATTTCATTGTTGATCCTCGTCAATGCTGATCATCGTCTTTGCAGAATAGGTCGCTCATCAAGCATTGAGATCGGGACGACCACAAAGCTAGCGACTGCCATTCAGCCGGTTTCCGTGTGTGGTGGTCGAACGGGACACTGACGACCACAACGAGGACAACGACTACATCGACGACTACAACCACGCGATCGAGACGACTACGGAAACGACGACGACCAACCACGACGACGGCGAATCCGCAGAGAGAGAGAAATGGATAGCCGCTAGCACGCTGTTGTCGTTTGCCTTCATTCCAGTCTATTGCTGTCCACTCAGTTACTGTAGCCGTATATCACTGTGATCCTCTTCCCACAACAAAATCGACGGCTCGAGTCGAAACATTTACATAGGTGCTTGGAGCAAAAACTGATTAATCAGTTGATCGATGACACGACTATTCATTCTTCCTGGAATATTCGCGATATCATCACTATCACTCTGGTATATGATATGTTCAGCACCCGGATGGGAAACCGAAGGTGGCTCTCTTACCAACGTTAGCAATAACTTCTATTAAGACATCAGTCCTAGTGGTTTTCTGTTTTCATAATTAAATTTGCTTGTTATAAGTTGAATTACGTATTAGTTGCTCCTGAAAAGTAACATCACCGTTTTTTTTTTTTGCGAAATTCAAAAAAGAGTCTCCCTTTGTTCTTTTCTTGAGACAATGTTCGAGTCCTAACCTTTAGAATTAATTTTTTAATCATTTTTTCAATTCAGAAAAACTATTTGGAAAATAATAAAACAAAAAGGAGCTAAAAGTGCATAACTAATGGCATGATTTGCACGTTTACACTAGTAAGATAAAGTATTGATTGGCGGCGCGGCAAACATTTTCCTTAGTCATTTATTTTTGTGGTTCTTTAAAATAGAATTACCTTTAAGATATGAAAAACTGGATCATTTAAATGAAGAAATTTGGTTCAAATTTGGTTTTGGAATAGAATTTTTACTGCAGAATTCCTGCATAGCTCTGTTTGCTTCTATTTCATCATTTTTTATTGTGAGCTTCTTTTGTAGGGTGGATCTACCAAACAAGAATTTTCTACTTTCATACAGACTTTACTATATGAAAATAACTCAAACCACATTTATGAGTTCTTTAAAATCATTCTTTCTTTCCTAGAGTTTTTTTCTTAAAATTGCTTCTGTTATACTACTATGCTAGTCAAAATCAATATAACACTTACCTGGATGCTTGAATGGCCCGTCTTCACTGATTGTGCGGCCACCAGCACAGTCTCTACTTTTTCGGAGTTCTACTTGTTTAGCCATTGTGGCTCCCCTACGTCTTGAAGACAGCCAGGCCAAGGTCTGCCCCAGGTAAGTGTTATATTCACCTTTGTGGATCAGAGGAAGATTTGTCATCATGCGACTAGCTTGGTACCAGGGCGGTGACGGATCCTGGTAGTGGTTTACTTTTAGCTGGACTTCCTGATGGAAACGCTGGACTCCTTCTCAGCTTGAGAGACCCTGCCGAGGGGATGAATCCCCCTCTGTACATCGCAGCTCGACACCCAGGAACATTTATTCATTTTAAATTTTATAGATTAATTATATGGTTTAAAAAAGCAAAAGTTTGAAGAATAAATACTAAGGCACATTCAATAGGCAACAAAAAAATAAATGTATAACTTAATGGAACGAACAAAACGCTTTCTCTGTTTTTTCTACCTAAATTAGTCCCAAGATTCTTCTGCAGTTGCGTACTTCTCTCATTGACAAGCTATCACGTGTTTGATAAAGACTAGATTCGGTTCGATACGATCACGAAGACTCACATCGAAAGGTGAAACAATTCTGAACAATCGACCCGGATCAATCCGGCTCTGAAGAAGGCGAGAGCGCCGAAACGTCAGTCGTTTAAGTTTCCTATCAACCTCGTCTTAGCTAATCTGTGAAAGAAGTCTATGGTGATTAGTTAAGCCCAGGTTAAGGAAAAATCAGTTTTCGAACTATTGTTACGGCTTTTTGCAGATATTTTTTACAAGTTTTCTAGACCATTGAGTACAAGGAAGACATAAAGCTTTTGAGTATTTTGTTGTTAATACTGAAGTGTTTTTCCTAATAAAATCACTTCGAGAGCGTTCATCTAAATTATCACCACATACATTTTAAAAATTTAGAAAGTCCAGTTCAAAAATTCAGAAATTCTATCAGGAACCGTAGATAGGTGAAATCATTCAAAGGTGCGGAAAACCCGCGCAGATACGGTAGCAGATCTATCTGTCAGCCGTATACGCGCTGGAGTTGAATTTTAAGGTCATGAACTTATGATTTGCAATTTAATGAATCTGGTTAAATAGAAACTATTAAACCAAAAGGAGCAGCTGCAATCCTTATGAAGTCTCCAACGTTTAAGCTTCTACCGCGTTTTAAATCAATCAAAGCACTTTGTAATGAAAACACTTCGATTTTATAAAAATAAAAGTAGCTCTTGCCAGAAAGTTGTTAGAAAAATTCGAGATTTGAAAAAGATATTGGTATTTCTGAGCTTATGTTCCTGTTTTTCCATCCCAATCTTTTTTTATTTCTTTCTTTTTTTTTTACCAGAACAACTACTCGAAATAGTGAAAGATCTAGGTGCCCATACTCTCAGTTCGTTTGGACAGCTAATTTTTGTTTATTTCGAGTACTGTTATACTAATGGAACCACAACAATAGGCTTTTTGAGTAAAGAAATCGATCGAAAGGTTGATCTTCATGCAAGATGTTCAGCTACGTTCGAGCTACCGAAGCAGTTCGATAACTTCACCGCTCTCGCCGATAAGTTTCGCCACTACAAGGACGAACATTTCGGTTACATTACGGCAATTTTTGTTTTTGCCTATTTGTACAAACAGACATTTGCCATTCCAGGCTCATTTTTTCTGGTGAGTTGTTTTCTATTTCCTGTTTTTAAGATGTTCATCAATACTGTATTTTCTTCCATTGTATCAACCACGCGTTACATTTGAGACGAAGAGAAGCAAAAGTGTAAGACTGACGGAAAAACATGCACTTAGGTTGTTTAAAATGTAGCTAGACAAACGCAAATGACAATTGAGCTTAGAGCCTTTGACAAATAGAATTCAACAACTAGCCCAAAAAATCGATACTTGAATATATCGTGGAGGCGTCCTTTTACTTCGTATAACACTTTTCGCCTATATTTTTTTTCCCATTCCCTTAAGCACTCATGAAAATCTCAATGGAGGAAGCCCTCATCTAACTAGATATATCTATGAAATTTGTTGTTAATAATGAGCTTACCAATCGAAATTTTGTTCCTTACGGTAGAATTAGGGCGCGTTTGGCACAGTGGTCGGAGGCGCCCTGTGACACACACACACACGGGATCGATCACCGTGCCCGTGGCCTACCAAGCCTTCCATCCTTCCGCGGTCGGCAAATTGGTGCCAGACTTGTCTGGGAGGATAGCAGCACTCGTTCGATACATCGGTATGCCACCGCGAGTCATTGTAAAGGCCAGTTATACATTCAGTCACCTCCAACGATACTTGATGAAGTCGAATGCATGGTTCATTCCTTAGGGATTGATCAACGTCGAGGGCTTTATCCTTTTTATCTTTATAGCAGAATCTGATTGACACAGAACTGCGATAAACTTATATTTTAATGAAGATCCGAGATAGGAGAGTGCTCGAAATTCCTGTAGAAATACCATATTGACGAATCTGAATCTGGAAGGATCGATTTCGTTCATGTCTTCTGTGATTTCTTGTCGTTTTGGAATGTTTCGAATTTGAAACCTTAGTAGTTGTTCGCTGTTGGCTTTTTTTACTTACTGCTTATTGCTTTTCCTTCGGTAGAGTATGATGTGAAATACAACCACTTTGACACTGTCATGTCCGCAAAACTTGGACCTCAGGCCAGATTTGAACCTTCGATTACCCTTTCCGGGAGCTCGCTTATACCTCTTTAGGATTTGATGTTAATTGAATGAGCAAAATTTTAAATAATCGCAACCCATAAGTCTCCATAAGTTCAGCGTCATAGTATGCGAAATGTGCCCGAAATTCATAGTTGATCTTCGGCATAGAGTTGATCAGCAATGGTTCTTCATTCATCCAGTGACTACCCAGTAGTAGTAGTAACGACAATTGTGAGAAATTCGAGATATTCACTTCGAACAAATCTCAATCACTGATAATTGTTCGTTTATTTGCTCATATGACCGCGTAACCAACCGAAAATCCATTCATATGTGACCGTGCAGGTTTCCAACGGTGCGACGCCTACACTTGCGTGTCAGACTTGATTGCGGACGGGCGGAGACGGACGGCCGGTGTGAACCAAGTGGTCTCAGCGATCAACAAGGATACATGTAATCTACTTCATTTAGAGCATCTCGGGTTGCTAATTCAAAGTGCTAAGCGGTGCAGCCATAACAGATAAAGTACAAAACGTTCAGCATTGGTCAGTCCTTTGGAGACTTCACCAGAGATTCGGGCCCACTCGGTAATCTATTGCTTTATCTTCTCACTCATGTCTTCTAACGATATCTGACTTCGTACCAATGATGGGCTTGATCTTCTGAGGGAGCGATCTTGAACCAAAGATCAAGTGTCTATTGGAGAAGACCTTTGCCCACTATGCTGCACGTATCTTTTGTGTCTCATAGGTGCAGTAAAACGTGCACCACAAGTGAACAATTTGTAAAAGTGAAAATCTCATTCATAAAATGAGCTCCATTTATATTCCAAACGAGTTTGTCAGTTTATAGCAGATACTCTCTCTGACTCTTCAAGTATAACGAAGATAGAAGGTCGTATATGGAAACTGTTAGACTATTAATGCCCCTTAAATGGAAGTCCCGAGATATTAACCAATTTTGTCGTCTATGCGTTATGTTGGAGACATTCTGGCAGCGATAGCTGTTCTTAGCAAGAACAGTGCCTAAATGTCTTTGGTGTTGCTGTGGCATTAAACTGATGTCATACTGGCTCTTATGCTCTTACTGCTAGATTACTATGTTACTGTAAACCCCTGCCTCTTGTTAGTGATCAAAATTTCCATAAAATACGGCACGATACTGACAACGTTCGTGGTGATCATCGTGATAGATTTCTGTTCGCCACTGATCCACGAAAATTAGAACCGTCTTTCGAACGAGATATGGTGAAAATGCCAAGCGGAAGTAAACCTATATCGAATACCAGAATAAAACATTTTTCTTCAAGAAAACCCCCTTGGAAGGCCGAATTGTCCGAGATATAAATCCTCGAGGAATCCTGAACTTATGGTTATTTGGTTAATACTTCACAAATTAATGTAAAAGTAATTAATAAACGCGACAACGAAACTCATTGTGGTTAAAATAACCAAATTAATTGGTCCTCTGGACGGAACAGGTAGAAAACCATAGATAAAACGAGTGTACAATTTTTGCGATAACTTTTGTAACCAGTAGGAAGTAAAGTTGAACGTTTCAAAAGACCTACCGTAATTTTTTCGTTGGACCAAATTAGAAACGACGTCATAAATAACAATCTTGGCCAGATTTTCTTTCAGAATGTGATTGCTGGCGCTGTTTACGATTTTTGGTGCGGATTTTTTCTTTGTTGTGCATTGACAACAGGTAATCGAAAAACCTTTCTGGATTACTAAGCTAACACGAAGTTGATAAAAAGGCTTATTCGGCTAACGTTTCGACTACTTCGTCTTCCTCAGAACCGATGATCCGAATCGATGGTCCACAATCAGCTACCTTTTTATCGACGTCGCGTTAGCTTAATAATCCAGGAAAGTGTTGATTATTAGAGCCGACGTTAAATGACAGTCATTTTGAAAAATATTAATTCATATAATCTTCAGCCGGTTCAACGTTGTGCTATCTGTTTTCCGAGCAATTTGGCCGGGAATATGTTATGTATTATTTTGGACAGAAATTAACTTACTTACAACAGAAGGTATGCTTTAACGAATACGCCATCGTTCACAAAATAAAGAAAAACTTAACTTTACAAGATATAAGAAAGTTTTCGGTACGTGTCAAAAAAATATTGATTGATTTAAATTCTACTAATCGTCTTTGTGAAACTGAAGCGAGGTTGTACTTATCATTGCCGACGTTTATTGAAAATCAATCTTCCAAGAGATGCTGATATTTTTAGAGAAAAACTGAGGCGAAAAAAGGATAAGCAGACTAAATATTTCCTTTTTTGCCCTGAAATTTATTTCGAAAAGTTAATGAAGATTTTCTTTATGTCCTTAGATATATCACAGTCATCAATTTGTCACCAATCTGGCAACGATCTTAAATTCTCGTAAATCTCAGGATTTCGAAACAAGTAGTAGATTCAGTAATATGTGCAGAAAATGATACATAGATTTCACGATTCGTCTCAACTCAAGATGTGAATGGTTTTTTTTCAGATTGATGATAATTCGAATCGTTTGCTGCCATTTCTTCTATTCGCACGAATTTTTCCTATCTCACCGTCATGGCTATTGAATATTGTAGCACCGTTTCTCAACATACCACTAAGGATCTTCGTTATATCGGCTTTTATAGGTAGAAAATGACCATCATCTATCGATTAAGTGTTATCGAGCTGGTTAGTCGATAGCCTACTTGGGGAGCGGCTATGAGAACAACGGGTTTAATCGCGTCGCCACTAACCACTGCGCTACACCCGCCCCTTCAGTATAGTACTTCGATATACTGATGATTTTTAACAGAAATACGAAAACAATCAATATCTCATAAGACCTTAACGGTTTCACCATGGACAGATGGAAATACGAATAGGAAACCTTTGAGTTTATGAAAAAACTACACTCGAATTATAAAAGACTATCACAGACTGATGGTTATCGGTAGACCTAAACATGACAGTTCCTACAGAAACTGATAAACACCAGCTGCAGTTCAATAAGTAAAAGTTACCAACAAGTCCATAATATACGATTTGGTGGAGTTTTTTGACTGAATGAATGAAATTCCACAAGCTTAATCATGATTTCGGGTAGTGCACGTGTAGTGCAGCCGTTCAACACAATGCCTCGTTCGAGCTCGACTTGGGCGCACCAAATTCGCCATCCCTGCGGGTACAGAAAATTGGTGCCAGCCTTTTTTGCGATCATTTCGCTCTTTTCGAATCCAAAAAAGCCGGTGAATGGTTCCAGTAAAGATCTGGAAATTACGTGGAACGGCTAGCCAACGATTTCGGAGTCAACTCGACTAGCATTCAACAGCATTCATGAGGAAAGCAAAACCATCAAGTAGCAGGCGAATATCACCCAAAACACCAAGGCGTTCTTTGAGTCCACTCATTATTTGATGTCGGATGGCACAGCGAAATTTAATGGTGCGCGAATATTCGTAGTTCAAGATTTCGTGTGTTGTTCGACTGCATGCAATGCCATTCATATTATTAACTCATCTAATGATCTTATCAGATAAACTCCCGTTTTTCTTATACTGACGGACTTTCTCGGAGTGTCAAAATCGTGTTCAGCGCTGTTGAAATACAAAATTTGACGCCACCGTTACTGACCTGATTAAGTGATTTGGTCGATCTTAACTTAAGTATATCCTTTACCAAAAGATGCGAACAGAGCTTTGGTGCTGATTAATTCTGTAGAAATACACCATGTATCTAAATATTTCCGTAGAATAGTAGAAGTGATTCAATGCATGATTGACCTATATAATGACTCTCAGTGGTTTGTCGATTCACCAAATCGTTTTTGCTTACAAGAGAAGTTTGGTACTAATTCGCTGAGGATACAAGAGCAGTCCGAAACAAACTGAAGCCCTCCAGTCTACGTCGAAACGCCTTAGAACGGCGATCTCGGGATTTCAGGAATCACCGACTTAACCTACCAGCATTCAACGTGATTCGTGAGAAAGATGGAAAAATCCTCAAACGTTATCCGAAGCCAAAAGCAAGAATGTTCGAAGCTCGTCGTCGATGGTTGATGCGACGAGACGAATCGAATGCAAGAGGTGCTGAAATCCGCACAGTGTGATACATGTTATAACGGGTCATGTAATTAAAATAAAAATGAAAGGGCTACAGGACTAGATTTTTCCGGAGAGAAGGGTCGAATTATTGCATGAGTGTATTGCAGGGCACCATAAACAACAGAGCAATGCACTCCCCAAGACTTCACAAACACCCAATTATAAAAAAAAGCTGCTTGATCACTTACTCTATCTTTTAGGCTTAGCACCGTATAACTTTATTTGTGTACAAGCGGGATATATACTGTCGGAACTCCAGTCATGGGATGATATATTCAGGTAGATGATTTATCTTCGGAAGATATAAGGTTTTGTCTTTCCATCTATATGTAAAAGTTCTCCTAAAATGATTTTCTTTTTGTTATAATAAGCCAAGGCTCCCAACGGTTTGCCGCCTCATTGTGGGTCGGTGGTGTTCCTGAGTGTCAGGCTATGATCTACGGCGGAGAGATTCTTCCTCCAGCAAGGCCTCCCAAGCTGAGGAATCTGGCGCTTCCGCCAAGGAGCCCAGCTAAGAGTAAAACAATACCAGGAACCACCATCGTCCCAGTAACAAATTAGTCGCATAGTGGCAAATCTCGCTGTGATCCACAAGGATGGTGACTGGCCAGTGGTGGTGACCACTTGCGGCAGACTTCGGGTAGGCTATCGTCGGGATTCCAGAGAACCACAGCGTATAAAGCAGCAAAAGTCCGAAAAAATGGAAATTATGCTGGGGACCGCGCAACTAATCCAAATGGGCCATCCAAGTATCAAGGTAAGTATAATAAATCAAGAAGAAAACAAGCTTCTTTTGACTGTTCACGGCGAGATTATGGAGACAAACTACATTAAAAGCTGAAGTAAGAAAGGTCTTGTGAAAGCTGCAGAAAAATTGAAAGCTCGACGGAGTTTTCGGGAAAAGAAACGTAGAAATAGTACAAAAGTAGATGAATAAGAACATAAAGTTCTTGTTTTCTTTCTTGTTTTTGAATAAGAAAGTTCTTGTTTTCAAAAATGCTTGAATGTGTAGTTTTTAGTGCCTCAACCATGATTAAGCTATTCTCTATTGCTCTTTTACCACTCGCGTATGCAATCTATGTCCGGCCACGAGCGCACAAACATCAAGTGAGTTTGAGTTATCAGAATATAAAAGTCATATATTATTAAAACTCGGGTATTAAAGGCAAAACCTTCTAGAAGAGCACTTCAATATAAAAATGTTTAAAGACATTTTATTGCATTCACTTACTTAGCTTTTACCTAAACAGCCTATTTCATACATTATGCGGATCTCAACATCTTTTCTCTTTAGTTTTATTGTGTTTCGTATTATCCAGGGGACCCCCAAAAGTAGTCGGATTCGTGCGTGCGTGCGTGCGTGCGTGAGTGTGTGCGTGCGTGCGTGCGTGAGTGTGTGTGTGTGTGCGTGTGTATGTGTGTGTATATGAGTGTATATGTTTTCGTAATAACTTTTTCGCGGAATCCTGGGATAGTTTGACCTGGACGTTCCCAGGTCCTACCAAAGGCAATCATTGGATATTTGTGAATTGACGGGAAATTTACTCTCACGCCAATACAATTCCACCAGGGCTGCAGCGATCGCTAAAATCAGTGGTTAATAAAGCAGTGTCAAAAACTCGAATTTTTGTTATTATTTTTAAAAACGAAAGTAAAAACTTCAAGGACGGACGGGAGACCACTTGGGAGGTATTGCCCTGAAGATGAACAATTTGACTTCTGTCGTAGTTCTATACATAGGAACATCTTTCAAGTGCGACTTAGAGCTTCCACGAAAGAACAAAAAAAAGTAAAAAGAAGTTTCTATTAGCAAAGTGGTGAATGTTGAGGTGAATGGTTTGATGAAAATATGTCCTGTTGGGAGCACAGTCGTGTAAAATGGAGGAATTTTTATTAATGTGTCGTTTTCTTGTTCAGCAATCGCGAGGTTTTTAAACAGCATACATTTACTTCCATAAAAACACAATACAATACAACGCTAGCTGACGTTTCGGCAGTATCGCCTTCTTCAGAGCCTGGAAGGGTATGCTGATATACAATCTACTAGGCCAAACGCTTCAATAACACTTACACAAAGACGAAAGACTCTTTGGTAATTACACGATCAACAACTTCTCGAAAAACCCACCGCTTTTTCGTGACTTCCAATGAGGAAGTTTAGAACAGCTGATTATAGTCGCATGTGGTTGACGACTGCACCATCCCACATCAAAAATCGATGCGAACGTACGGGATCAGGTCGCGTATGACCTCCGGGCATTCGTCCCTGCTATTCATTGTAGGGTTTTTGGCATTGATCCAAAAAGCCTCTAGGAGT